CACCTGAGAGGCTCAGTTGACTAAGCGTCTGCCTTTGGCTCAGGTCATGATTTCGGGGTACTGAGATTGGGCCCTGCCTTGGAGGCTCAGCAACATGCCTGAAATCTGTGCCTAAAAACACAATTGCTCCTTAAGCAGACAGGAATATGCAAATGGAATGCTCTGGACTATTTCAAGTCTTTCTGAATATAAACTCACATTTCTTTTTAAATAATGTAAAATTAGGAAAAAAACCTAACTCTCTGCAAGAACTCGTAACCTGTTTCACTACACTAGAACAGCCTCCTGACAACAAGGATGTTTTACCGAAAGATGTCGAGGAAGGAACAGAAAGGGCATGTCCTCTAGAGAGCACTGCAAGGTGTCCCCTCGAAAGACTATTAGTTTCCCGCGACCATAAACTCCTCGTCTGCTGGAGTGGATGCTTCCTCAACATTACATGCGTGTAGCTATTTACAGAAAAGCCATCTGTAGGATGTGCTCATGAATTTTTCAACTTGGAGATTAAATGTTTCAAGCTTAGTTCTCAAAATCTACCTGTTTTCAATCTTTACTCAATTCAGATTTTCAGACAGACTTTCCCATTTCAGGATAACATTAGGATGCTGTTGACTCTCCTCGGGAAATGACCTCAGGTAACACGTTTCAAAGGACCTGAGCAATGCCAACAATAAGAATGGGATGAGTAAATACAATCATGGAGAAATTATACTGGTCTAATTTCTCTAAATGTCTGTAAGGGACTCTAAAATACCTTTGCTTTACCAGAGATGTTTGTAGATATGTAGATTTCCCAGTTGAACCGGCTCTGAACTCACGACTTAAACTCTTCTATTAGATTCACTGGCAAATCTCAGCGGCACATCTTAAAAGTAAGCCCTTGATCTTTGCCATCTTAAAAACCGATATTCAGCTGAAATGTGACTCTGTTCTCTCCTTGCCAAAATTTGTCCCCGAAGAGACGGCCAAGGTCAAAGAACTAGACTCCACAAAATGCAAATACAAAGTCTATCCAAAAGATTAAAAGAAAATGTAAATCCTAATGAGCCTAAAGTTATGTAGCACTCCAACAACCAGCCCTTGGAGGATTTGAGGACCATTTAGGGCTGCCTTCTGGTAGTCTCCCCGATTCGCTAAAGGGAGTCCAGAGAGGAACATGAAAACACAGCAGGTCACCTGATGGAATGTGTCTATTATGTAGTCTGGAAGAGAAACCTGGGTTGGCCTCTCCCAGCGGGTTTCAGGCTCCGCCTGCTTATCTACAGGATAGCCAGGACTGCTCGGCAGAGGGAAAGCCGGGGTCACTGGGCTGAACCAGGGCTGTCAGTTTCCACCCTGCTCCCAGCCCTTTACCCCTGTCGCCGCACCGAGCACATCCCCGATCTCTGGAAGACCGTCCTGGCCCTGGTTTCATGGGGATTGGCTGGGCAAAGGCTGGGCTGCGAACAGCTCACTGTTTGTCAGCGTTGCTTTATTAAGTTACCACACATCATGGGGCTGTCTTTAACCTACAAACCTGTACTCCATTGTGTGAATCAAAAATACACATTCGATTCAGTTCCATGATGCCAAAGAAAAAGGAAAGCATCCCATTTCCTCTCGAAGGCTGTTCCTTGCACTCCTGACAAAGCGCATGTGATGCAGATCACAATACTCCAAGTGGCTCCAAGCCACACGCTCCTAAGAAACACGACTGAGTCAGAAAATGGAAAAACTTGGCCTACTAAAATATGCACACCTGCCGTGCTAGAAAGCAGCAATATGGGGAACTCGTGAAATAATGTACAGAGTCCAACACAACAACTCCCAAAAATGAAATGAGCAGACGGCTCTGCTTTGCTGTGAGCTGACAGGTGAAGAGACTCCAGAACCATAATGTCACCAGGGAAGACTTCAGTCCGGGTCAGGGCAGAAGGAAGGGCACAGCAGATGAGGCCGTGGTCAGCTTGAAAGCCCCCTAAGCACCTGACCCAGGAGAAAATTCCCCCGCCCCTGCAGCTAAGGTTCTCCGATGATAACTGCCCCACCCCCATGCGCTGCAGGAAAGCTTCCCCGGGAACAGAGGTGCCTCAGCGTCCCCCAGAGCTCAGTGGGCCCCCAGCCCCCAGCGCCCACTCCCTGGAGCAGGATCCTGGCCTCCCTAAGTGAAGTCTTCATAAACCTGGGGATTGTAAGGGGGAAACTCTGTTCCGTACAGACTGTCACGTTTCCAGCCACTGTTTCTGAAACTCCTCAGATAAAGACACACACTTCATTCAACATTCCCTGACCCGGTGACCCAGGGACTCATTTGCCCATAAAGAAGAAGCTGGAATCTCTCTGGTGGAGGTCAGCATCACTAAATGAGCTGAGCAGAAGTGAGTTTTGATCATTAGAGCTGGGCAAGGTATTTCAGCGATTACGTTTCAACCAGACTGACCCCTACTTCCTCAAGTTGAGGTAAATATTCCTGCCAAAAACCAACAACTGAATTTGGGGATTTTGCTTTGGGGGATGAGCGTGTGAGTTTTCATTCCATTCAGGAAATACGTTCTTAAATACTTCCTTAGTCTGATCAGGATTGCCCCTTCCTCTGAAACCGCCTTTTCAAAAACAAAACCTACTTAACTTCCTTAAGTTTCTTCACAACATGCTCGTTATCAGTCTAGGATGAAAAGATGGCATTTTATAAAATAAAATTGGCATTTAGAAGATTGCCCAGTACTTCGAAAGGCTATAACCACATTTACACAGACTGGGCTGTTCCAAATCTTTCACAAAAGTCTGAACCTCAGAAAAGCCATTCTCCATGATTTGGGAGACAGCAAAGCTAGATTGATTTCCTTACCTAAAAGCCAGGTTTGACATTTGTTATGTTATGAAATAAGTACTTCTAAAATTAGTTGCTTGAATTCCAAAATATACTTTTGAAAGTCAATAATGGTTTGTTGGTTTTTTTTTAAGAATAGACAGTTTGCTCTTCATACCTCTTTAGAACCCATTTCTTATTTTATTCCAGATTTGAAGGGTTACCATTTTAAAGAATGCCAGACAAGGGGATCTCTATTTTAATCTTGATATTGGGCTCCTAATTTCATCCTTGTGTAATTTTTAAAAATCCCAAACAATCCAAAATAATGCGTAATTATCATAGGAACTGGCATTTCAAACTGTGCTGTAGGCTATATACACTATCAATACTTTTCAACTAAAACGTGTTCCTAAACACATAAGAAAAATACAAAAGATATTTATCTAAGTGTTATTATGCAATAATGCACTCTTTAAAAAGAAATAGTATACAAGATCCAAAAAGGGACATTGCTTATTTTTATAACAGAAAAATGATGTAATTCTAATGATTGCTTATTTTTATTGTTATAAAGTTTTTTTTATAACTAGATGTGAATTAAGGGTTATTATTTCATAGGCGTGGCTATTTTTTAGTCTGCTTTACTCCAAGTGTAAATTATAATTTATTAGCTTCTGATGGCTTTCCACTAATAATTATTTAAACATTTTTCCCAGGATCAATGAATTACCTCTGGCAAACACTGTTATAGTCAAAAGGGATGTCTCCAAACCAGAAGCTAAATTAAATATTGCTATGGCTTCTCATGTTGAAGCATGGAAGTATCTGGCAGTTTTTGTAGCTTGATGTCAATTCAGATGGATGCTCTATTTCAGCTGTACTGATTTATTATTATTTCTTAGATGAAAGAGGACAAGTAGATTCCCCTGTGTAGTAATAATTGTACATTTGGTGTCTTAGTGTTTATTCTAACCAAGATTACTGAAAGTAATGTAAGCAGTATTACCTCTAAACGAAAGAGGTTACTTTCAAGTGGCAAACCTTACTAAAAGTTTAGCTGCTTTATTAAGTGTAACTCTCAGCATGTAGTGTTAAAAAATAGTTCTCTAGAACAGGAGTTGACAAACTTTCTCTAAAGGACCAGATAGTAAATAGTTTAGCTTTTGCCATATGGTCTTTGTTGCATCTACTCAACTTTGCTCTTGTAGCAGGAAAGCAGTCAGAGATTATATGTAAATGAATGTGCATGGCTTGCGTTCCAATAAAACTTTATTTCTGGACACTGGAATTTGAATTTCATACAATTCTAATGTGTCGCAAAACAGTATTCTTCTCTTGAGTTTGTCCAACTGTTTAAAAAATGTAAGAATCATTCTCAGCTCTCAGGGCCTATAAGAACAGATTTCAGGCTGAATTAGGCCCATGGGCTGTGGAATGCCTACCTTCGTTCCCATAAAGCAACAGTAGAAACCATCCTTCCTTAAAGATTACCATTGCAAAATGAACTGATTGTACTAGTCATGTGCCGGAAAATATAAAATCGAAAGAAAGACAAATTACCAAAGGATGAGCAAGGCGTGGCTAAAAATCAGGCCCTCACCCAGGATGCTCACCTGTCCTGCTCATGCAAGGCCACTTCATCCTGGCATCCACGGCCATCAGCAGGTGAGTGAAGAAGGCCAGCCTGCAGAGCACCCATCTGGTTCTGAGCAGCACATACTTGCTGGGCATGCTTCATCCTCTGTCAGATCATCACTACCCACTGTGGCTCCGAGGGGGGACAGAAAGACACCTGTCCCTCCCTCCTCCCCCCCATCACCCAGCCCCTGACAGTCAAGCTTCTCTGACTGCTAAAGACCCAGAGAAGTCTAGCAGCTAAGCTATTCTGTGCTCTGCCTACACAAAGGGGGTTGAGGGTCAGCGACCCTGCAGCTTACAGCAAACCGACCAGACTACTCTGGTGTGTCAATTCACCAAGCACCTTATTTTGACAGCGAACAGAAGCCTTCTACAAAACGTTTCAAAGAACATTTTTGCCCAGAATGGGAAATCTGGACCTCTCCACTTCAGAGAGGAAAGACTGAAGAAAGGAAACTTGGAAATACTGTTGTTTAATTATTGTTAAAGGGCCAGCATGATCAGCTGAGGAAGATCCCCTGACTATCAAGACCTCCCAAACTCCCCAGGAGCTGAAATAGAAAGTACAGCGTGAAAGGGTGTGCAAGTGGCCTTTATTTTTTAAAAGACGTGTGTACACAAAGGGCCAAGTAAATAACGTCCAGTCTGTGCAAATATCTCCCAGATCCCAGTTAAGAGAAAAGGACAGCTCATCCAAGGCCCCACCGGTTTTCATCGAGAAACGGGCCGCTGTGTGAAGGCCCGGGCGCACACCCACGGTCCGGCGCCTTCTCTCCGCACGATGTGGCGGGATGCCTTTCCTTTCCCTGAGACCCGAGGCGTCTGCAGCAAGCTGCAAAGGCTAAAACACGATGTCTATAGTTGAAAACAAATCCCAAGGTCTTACAGCTGTGCACAGGGGTCAGGACCTTTTTCTTGAAGGCAGCTACGGCTCGGAGTCAAGAATTTCTTCGCATTCTGGCGCAGGGCGAGAATTCTAGAGGCAGCCTAGGGAGGCCTAAGCGAGGAGAAAACGGGCCGGGCAGGTTCGGTGCTTTGCCCGGGCTCACGATGCTTGCTCAAAGGATCCGTCCTGGTGCGAGTTTACAGCTTTCCTTCTCCGGTGGACGGTGCTCAGGAAGACGTCCCCGCAGGTCACCTGGCAGCTGTGCGGCGGCGCGGGGCCTGGGGCCGGGCCTCGGGCTCAGAGCGCGTCGGAAGGGCGCACGTAGCGCAGCGTGTAGTTGGCCCCCGCGTTGTTGTCCCAGTACTCGCCCTTGGCGCAGCGGTAGCAGACGGCGAAGTGCACCGCGGCGCCGGGCGCGTCCGCGTCTTCCCCCTCCTGGGGCTGCAGACCCGGCGGCAGGTACAGCGAGAAGTGGAAGCGCTCGGCGCCCGGCTCCTCCTCGGCGTCCCCGGGCCCCCCAGACGACGCCTCTGGCGGCTGTGGCTCCGCCGGCTCGGGCTGCAGCTCGGCCGCCACGTCCAGGAAGGAGCGCCACTCGGTGAAGGTGTAGCGCACCGCCACGGCTCTCGGCCCGGGGCAGCCCAGCACCCGGCCGGAGCCCGTGACCTCTGCGCCCGAGGGCGCCGAGCACTGCACGCGCTCCAAGCACACGCGCTGCCGCCGCAGTCGCTCGGCGGCGGCGCTCGGCCCGGGAAGCTCGAAAAGAGGCCGAAGCCGGGGAGGTGGCGCGGAGAGGGGCGCGGCCGCTGCCGCCGCGGCCAGGAGGCCGGGGAGCTGCTCTAGGTCTTGGGCGCGCAGGGGGAAGCTGCGGAGGCGGGAGAGCACGGCGGGAGGCACCTGCGGCTCCTCGGCCTCGCTGAAGTGCTTCACGCTGGCCAGGCTCAGCCCCAGCGCGTCCGCGAACTGCACCCGCTTCTTGCACTTGGCGCAGCAGCCGCCGGGGCTGTGCGGCGCGCCCTCGGCCCCTTCGCCGCCCTCTGGGCCCAGCCCCAGGCCAAACTGCTGTCGCTGCTGCAGCAACTTGGCGGCCTCCAAGATCGGGTCCGCGGGCAGGGAGAAGGAACGCGGGAGGCGGCGGCGGCACTCCCACGCCTCCTCCTGCTCCCGGGGGGCAGCCTCTTCCTCCGCTGGCAAGGGCTCAGCGTCGGGGCTCGGGGCCTCCGATGTGCCGCCGCCGTCCCCGCCACTCTCCATGCGGAGGACCCCTGGGGCGGGCAGCCCCTCGGCTGGCGGGGGCTCTCCAAAGAGCGCGGGTCCCTGCTTCTCCGAACTTAGCGTCCCCTGGGGCTCCATGACCCCGCCGGGCCCCGGATCGCGTCCCCCCACCCCCGGCTCAGGGCTCCTCTGGAGACTTAACACCTTGGGTCTTTGCAGGAGCGTTCAGAGCCCGCCCCGGACCCGAGAGGAGAAGGCAGTTCCACCGCGGGGCCTCGGGTTTTAGCGGCGGCAGCCCTGGACGGAGTGGGAGGAGGATGCGGGCGTGGGGCCGGCTCTGGGGATTGAACCTGCCCGCAGCCGGGGGAGGGCCCGGGGCGGGGAGGCGCGGGCCGTGGGAACACCTGGAAGCGGGGCGGCGCGGGCCAGAGCGACTGGGCGGGCTTGCCGAAGGCTCGGGCAGAAGGTGAGAGACGGCTTTCTGGAAGTCGGGGCCTCCCTCTTCCCGCCCACCCCGGCGGGGCCCGCGTCTGTCCTGCCTCCGGAGCTCCTGGGGTGAACTGGCGCTCAGTTCTCGTGAACACGGGCGCGAACTGCCTTCTGCCCGTAAAGTCAGCCCCCAGGTCCTGGCGGGTCTGCCCTCCGGCGGGTCGCAGAGCGGTCTCCTCCCGCTGTCGTAGCGGCCCAGGAAGTCCCCGGGCCAGGCGCGCAATTAAGGAAGCTCGCCTGCGGGGGAGCCGGGAGGCGGCCGGCCGCGGACTGCGAGCGCCGAGCGCCTCCTTCGCTTTCTCTTCCTTCCTTCCCAAACTTCAGGGCGCCCGGGTTCCAGTCCCGCTCTCCAGCCGGCCCCGGCCCGGCGCGCTCGCCTCGGCGCTCCGGCAGTGGCGGCGCCCGGGGGGCT